GGGAGGTCAGGAAACCAGCCCCCCCCCCAGTCATTGCAAGGGTCCCTGCACTTCCGAGCAATGGGGCATCCTTTATGCAGAGAATGGGACAGATTCAAAGAAAAGGAAAGACCCGTGACTGCCTGCACAGATGGCAGCATGGGGGTAGCGGCCGGTTGGGGGGGTGTAAAGGGGTGGACTGCCACTTTAAGGCCCAGAGGCCTGGAGCCAGCCAGCCAGCCCCATCCCCACCCCACTCCTGGCCCTATAAAGAGCAGCAGGATGCCCCAGAGGGGGCTAGCCAGGGAGGCGGCCCTTGCCTGGCTCTAGATGGGACAGGCCCGGGTGAGCCCTGAGCAGCATGGACTGGCTGGAGGTTTGAGCATTGGATTTGGGGTAACAAATCCAGCCCCTGCTGACCCAGAGACGGGTTTGTTCTCATCGGGTGATTGAGGGAGCCCTGAGAAGGGGGGAAACTGAGGCAGGCATGCTGTAGGGTGACCTCTGGCTCCGAGGGGGTGCACAGGACGCAGCTGCCCCATTGCCAGTGGGGGTCAATGTTCCATTTCTTCCTCCCCATCCCCCTCACTCATGCCGGGATCCCCATGCACTAACCCTGCCAACAGCCTCACGTGGCTACCATCCCCATTTAATGGATGGGGAAACTGAGGCACCAATTGCTGCAGGGACTTGAACGCCTACCCCCAAGATTACACCCTGCATCCATGGCAGAGCTGGCAATAAAGCCCGGAGTCCTGACCCACCCCAGCTCTAACCACTAGACCCCACTCCCCACCCAGAGCTGGGGCTAGAACCCAGGAGTCCTGACTGCCAACCTCCCACTCTACTCCATCCCCTGGCCCCTCCCTCACCCTTCGCCTCTCTCAAGCTGGGGTCCTGTCTCACCTGAAAGAGCTTCTGATGTTCGGGGACTTTGTTTTTCATCTGGTGGCGAGTGGAGGTGGCGAAGGAGCGGAGGGATCCCACGCGGGAGATCTGTGACACAGACGGCCGTGGGGAGGGGGGACAGGGTGGGGGAGGGCAAAGGTGATGAGGAACCTACAGAATAGAGTGAAATCAACCCCCCCGCGTAGGTCCCAGCCTCTGGGAGGAGATGGCCCCGTGCGGCTTGGTCCTGTTGTCTCGGCATTGATGCCAGTGGAGTCACTCCTGAGTGAGAGGGGAAGGAGCCCCGGTGACCCAAGGGGAGTCACTCCCGATTTACATCGGGCTGAGCGAGATCAGAATCATCTTGCTGGGTTCTGGTTTCCACCCTGCCTTGCATCTAATGCATGCAAATGCCAATACAAGGCCCAGACCAGCAGAGAATCAAACCCAGGCTGAGGGTCAGGACTCCTGGGTTCTGTCCCCGGGCTGGGAGGGGAGTGGGGTCTAGTGGGTTAGAGCAGGGGGGCTGGCAGTCAGGACTCCCACATGCCAATCTAGAAGGGTTGGGCTGGATCAAGGGAGGGTGCGGGGCCGGGTGGTACAGCGAAGCCAGGTTCAGGAACTCCCCACCCTTCCACCGGGTGACACCCCAGTGCAGCTTCTGTTTCCTGGACAGACAGAGTGAAAGCAGCAGCTGCTCGGAGCCTTCCCTCGGGGACGTGAAAGCACATGTGAAAGTGGAGCTGGCTAGTGAGGCTGGGCCAGCGAGAGAGACAGCCAGTGGGGACGTACAGCACCCTGCACCCAGGGTCTGGCTAATGGATTTACACTGCTGCGTAACTGGGGTCACGATCTGGCTCACGCTGCAGGATCCGGGCTGCCGGGCATCAGATGGGGCCAGAGTGAGAACCCCTCAGTTTGCTACAAGTTGTCATGGTGCTGCAGAGGCTGCTAAGAAACTCTCAGAGTGGCAGAGGGGTCCAGATTTCCCAGGGCAGCCTCCAGCCAGGCCCAAGGCCATTGCTGGGAGCGGGAGTGGGAATCCCACTGCTGACACCAATAGATCTAAAGTCACCTTGGAAAAGTGAAACTGCAGCCGCAGAGGCCTCTGTGCCCTTTCCTCTCTCTCCACCCCACCTCTGGGGTCTACCCCTCTTTACTCCCCCTTATCTATACTCTCCTTCTGCTTAGCCCCCGAAGCAGGAGATCTTATCCACCTAGAAAACATCCCTGCAGCCCACCCAGGATTTTGGAGGATTAACGGCCACCATGGAATTTTAACACCCAAGCCTACTGCCCCACTCTCGCCTCCCCCTTCCAAACTCTCTGCTCCCTGGCTCCAAAGCATCATATCCTTCTAGGCAGGGAACATTAATTTCTACTGATCTACCCCCGCCCTGCCATGCAGTATTCTTCTTATTTGTACACCTAGCAACCTAGATGCCTTGCTGAGATCAGGGCCCTGTCGCGCTGGGCGCTGCGCAGACCCCAACCGAGATCAGGGCCCCGTCGCGCCGGGCGCTGCACAGACCCCAACGGAGATCAGGGCCCCGTCGCGCCGGGCGCTGCGCAGACCCCAACCGAGATCAGGGCCCCGTCGCGCCGGGCGTTGCCCAGACCCTGACCGAGATCAGGGCCCCGTCACACCGGGCACCGCGCACACCCCAACCGAGATCAGGGCCCCGTCGTGCCGGGCGCTGCGCAGACCCCGACCGAGATCAGGGCCCCATTGTGCCGGGCGCTTCACAGACACAGAGCCAGAGTCAGTTCCTGCCTTGAGGGGTTCCCAGTCTAACCAGCCGAAGGAAGGCCGATTATCCCATTTTACAGATGGGGAGACAGAGGCCCAGGGAGCTGCAGTGACTCGCCCCAGGTCACACAGTGAGTCACAGCTCAGGCCACCCTTCCTCTGCCGTGCCGCCCTCTGTCTAGCGGCTTACACGCCAGCCGTTCTACCTAGCGCCCATCCACCCGTCTACCCACCGTACCAACCCACCTGTCTACTGAATCTACATTCCAAAGCACACAGCCCAGGAGCGAGGTGCCAGGCAGATCCATTCCTGGGCATATTTCTCACCCCCCCTTTTTTTTTACATCGCTCTGCAGTTTCGGGGGCTTTTTGTACCTGCCCCTTCTCAGGCATGTAACGAACCAGCGCAGTGGCCCCAGAATCCTTTCCCGTTTGTGGGAATCCGTGTCTGCGTGCGTGTATATGCAGAGCGGGGAGGGGGAAGAAGAAGACCCCTGTTTGGGAGGGTTTCCCAGAGTCATTATGGGATGGCTCAGAAAACCAGAACGGGTGAAAGCGCTAAAGGGACCAAAGCTGGAGTCTGGGCCTTTAATTGGGAACGTTCCCTGGTGCTTCCCCCGTCGGCCTGCACCTGTTGTCTTTGTCGCGTACGCAGATGGCGAGGGCCTTGGGCCAGGCGCTGTGTGAGTTCGCAGCGGGGGGCGCCTCGGCACTACCGTAATACACCGACGAGCCATAAAAATATACAGCGCCTAACACAATGGGGTCGTGGCCCCTGTCTGAGGCGCTACCGTAATACACATAACACATAATAAGTCTCGCAGGGTCTGGTTGGGCTCTTGCTTACCCAGGGTTTAAATCAGGAGTTGCTCCCGGTGTTTACACTGGGCTGAAACTGCAGCACCGCAGAGGAGGGTCAGGGCCTCGCTATTGAAAGACACCAGACTGACGGGTTTAAAAACCCAGCCCCTGAAGGCGAAAAGCCGGTGCCCAGCAGGGAACAAAGGTTAGAGACCCAGGCAAAGCGCAGGGGAGCGATTCACACACATGGGCTGCACCTGAAGGGGGCAGGGGGGTTGAATCTTGGAAGTGTTCAGATCTGGGGGGGGTTGGACCTGCTTGGAGCTGGGGGTGTTTGGGGTTGTGAGGGGGTGTGTGGATCCAGGGAGGGGTTAGAGTTGTGGGGGTATATGGAGCTGGGAGGGGTGGATCTGAGGGGGGTGTTTGGATTGGGGGCTTAGATCTTGGGGGGCTGGATCCAAGGGGGTGTTTAGATGGGGGGTGATCCGGAGGAGGGATGGATCCACAGGGGTGTTTAGATGGGG